GATGCCACAGCACTCTACCCAGGGGGATAGCTTGAGGCCCTGCCTCACAAAAAACAAAAACAAACAAAAAAAAAACTTTGACACTTATCTTTCCAGACTTTTTTCTGTGTATGTATATGCAAAAATAGTAGAAATCTATGTAAAACTAAAAAAAAAAAAATTGAATCACAGAATAAGGTATACAAAGAGAACACTCCAAAACTGACAATTTCTTTCCTGACCGAATTATGAACAAGATGAAAAACAAAACAAAGAATAAAATATCACTATGGTTACAGAAGCCTTAAGTGTACTGTCCAAATGGACCTGCTAATAGTGAACCCCAGAGATTCACTACTAAGGCCTATGCCTTAAGCCTAGACTGGGACATGTCCCTCCCTGCTTGAATAAGACTCTGCCCAGCTGATTCCATAGAGGACTAAATGAAAAAATTGCTAGTTAGTTATACACAGAAAAAGGGCACGAAGTAAGGCCAGTTACTCTCAAACTTCCCAATCAAGCAAGTCAATACATCAGGAAGTGAAGACAGGGGAAAAGGAAGGCTCTGGGTGACACTAATGGAACTCCATTCTCAGGAAGGAAACCTCAGGGATAGTGTAAAAATATCCCCCACTACTACAGTGTTCATACTAAATGTATCACTTCCTGTATTTCTACTTATAAAAAAAAATCCCCATGTTCATAAATACACATCTATACCAACATTTTTAATAGCTGCATAATGTACCATTACCTACAGAGTGGCCACCAAGTCCCTAAACAAGGTAGTGAGAAGTTATCAGAATACTGGTTTTCAATGCATCAAGTATTCAGTCCCTCTTCTTTGTTATACTCACTGGTATCATTCATACTGATGCCACACACAGACCAATATAGAGGGCAGGATTTTATGGATAGGCTTTCTGAAGATGTTTCATTGCCTAAATACTTTATCTTGTATCCTGCCATCTGTCTCTGCCACCATCTCTCACTGCATCCCCCACCCCTATAAGCTCCACCATGGCAGGAATTTGAGGGTTTTTCCACTATTATTCCTAGGGCATAAAATACTACTTAGGGCACTTAATAGGGCTCAATAAATTTGTTCACTAAATGAATGTATGATGCTAGTTGCTCCTCCACTATTAACCTGGTACAATGTTCAATGCGGGAAACCACATCAGTGCTTCTGAGTATATAAACTAAAAGGGCTTCATCTACATTGTCTGCTGTGGCCCCAGTGACATCTGCGCAAAGTTCTGGACCAGCCAAAGCTTCACTACTGAGCAGACAAACAACCAAGGGGCTGTACAAGATCAAACTTCAA